TAAAATTACTTGAAGAAACGATGCAAGAGAAACGCATCACTTAGGATGCGAGTGGCTCGTTGGGCACGTTCCAAATTATTGCATGTTCTTGTTTTTTTTTTCTTATTTTGTTTCAAACCCGTCACATATAATATGCACGTTTTATCTTCCGTCTCCACTTTGTTCCACGAGCTTAAATCGTTCGACGAAACATCCACACAAAGCAGGTTTAATTAACTTTGAAGTTTCCAGAAGACTTCCTAGTGCAACTCATCCTAGAAATAGATTTTTTAATAAAAGTTTTCACATCAACACTGTGTCTACGCAATTTGCAGTTAATATTTTGGGTTGTAAATAATATTGTATAAAGATATAGCTATAAGTAGAATATGTAATCTAGTTCGTTCTTCATAATTTAACACGTTCTTTTTACTATAATTATAGTATAAAATTATAGTTTACTAATTTATAAATAATTATTTGTAAAATACATTAAATTTATTAAAATAAAAACGTTGTACAAATTTGTAAGTATTAATATAATTGATATAAATATGTAATGTAGTTGATTAAATAACACAAGTTAAAAGAAATGTTAAAAAACAAACTTAGAATTGATAAAAATGATGTACAATTTTTTAGCTAACTTTTTGTGTTGTAAATATCTATACAAAGTCCTTACTAGAAATAGTATAAAAATTTAATGTTGTTGAAATATTAAGTCACAAACTAAGAAATGGTTTAAATATTTAATGTTATTAATATTTCAATTAAGAAACAAAGATTTGATAAAAATATTTTTCAAAAAAAGATTTGTACAAAATTATTAAAAAAAAACCGCTTTAAATTTTGTAGTAAACTTTTTTGTTCTAAATAATCTAATAGAAAGTCTAACTGTAAGTGGTACAAATATGTAATGTAATTGAATAATTAACGCAATTAATTAGAGACAAAATTTAACTACAAAATTGCACAACACAATTTTTTTTTCATTAGGTTCTTCATACGAATAATCTAATGCAAAGTCTTAACTATAAGTGGTACAAATATGTAATGCAATTGATTAATTAACTTAAATTTAAGATTCGTTAAAAATATTAAAAAAAAAAAATTTGTAGTTAACTTTTTAATTCTAAGTAATTCCATGCAGTCTTAAATAAAAGTGCTATAAATCTATAATTTATTCGATTAATTAACTGTAAATAAAAAAAATGATTAAATTAAAAAAAAACATGTTGTATACTTTTATAGTTAACTTATTAATTGTAAATAATCTTATGCAAAGTCTTAACTAAAAGTGATATAAACATATAATGTAGTTGATTAATTAACAGTAACTTCAAAAGAAATATTAAGAAATAAATACTTATTGTTCCCAAAATAATGATTGTGTAAGTGAAAGGATGTATTTGGGACATAAAGAGAGTGCTTATTTTTGGTGTGTGGGTGAAAAGATGCCAAGGTTTGTGTACGTGTAAATCAAAGAATATGAAGAACCGAACCTCAAAAGGAACGTCTCGCATGACGGACAGCGATTTATCAATGAAAGTGCGGAGGTCGTTCCGTTAAAACAATAACTGATGAGGGACGATCAGTCTGGAAGGTGTCTCCATAGGTACAGACCGAAGATTCCGTCATTTCTGGCCTCCCAGAAGATAACGTAGTTTCTGAATGCGCGGCCGCTTTTGATCTGGGCGTCGCGACGCCTGTCATTAATCGCCGACGAGATGTCACATAGCTCGTAAATCATCCGTCCTCGTCGTCGTCGACGTCGCAGCAAAAATTTGTTTATTTTATTGCCAGAGCCGTACGAAATGGAAGACAATCATCGCTCACACCACGAGATTAATGCACTCCAATCTGCCGCAGACCCTCTGCACTCTACATTTAATTGTATTCGCATTTTTTTTGTTGTTGTTTGTTTTACTTTAATGAATTCATCTGCTTGAAAGTTGTTCTGCTCCTGACGCTCCGTTAAAATGTACGTAGTTTAACCACAATCCAATTTTCACTTTTACATTGTTTATCAAGAACTTTATACATCAATAACTTGCATAGTGCGGGTAAACAGTTCCTAGATTACACTTTAAAACCGCATAAAACTAAACTACACAAAAGAGACTTGTACAAATGAAGAAAAAGGATAATTTATGTGAGAAAATTATTTTATGTACTATTTTTTTAACAATGTATTTTTATTTTCCTCATAATTTAGGTTTGAACTGATTGATGTAATACCTTGCATACGTATTACTGTATTTATTTAATTTTTCTGGAAATAATTAACTAGCAATATCATAAATCATTATAAATTAAACAAAAGTTCATAATTTAATATTTAGAGAAAAACTGTCTATTGAAAAATAATATTTATAAATAACAATAAAAGTTCACATTTTCAATAATTTTCAAGATCTTTAAATTCTCTTAACGACTGTGCGTATAATATACGAATTTTGTAATTTTAAACTGTCGCGCTAAGTTTATATGTTTATACGCATTATACACGAGTTTTCAAGATTTAATTATTTACCCGATTTACACGGTAGATAGGTTTTTGAGAAAAACGTGTAAATCGAAATTGCAACTTCTTAAATGTAAAACCGTGTAAATCGAAAAGTACTAAAGAAACGCATAATTTTCTTGTTTATTGATAATGATGATTTTTCAGGTACATAAATTGAACAAAAATATTGAAAGACAAAAAAAAATGTTCCTTTTGACATAGCCAGCTTATTTTGTACAGTTATTTTTAATTTATTTATTTTAAACGAAACGTGTAAAAATAATGTACCATGTAAAGAGAGGAATATTTTCAACATTTGTTTTTAATTTATTATTATTAATCGTGTAAAAGAGAAAACTTCTAAATAAAGTACCGTGTAAAAGGAGGGATAAGTTATTTTTAACATTTATTTTTAATTTTTTTTTAACCGTATAAAACGAGGAATACGTGTAGTATATTTACTATATAGTAGTTTTTAAAGGATAATTTGAGTGATGATTTGGAAATAATTGAAACAGTTGAAACGATAAAATAATTAACTGTTAAATCACTATTATTTTTTTATCTAACTAACATACTAAGATATAAATTTGATAATAAGTTTTTTCTTTTCAATACAAAACCTAAAATAATTATATGTTTTTCTGATTCAAGTAAATAAATAATTATATTATATTAGTTGCATTTAGTTGGAGATAAAAGTCACGTTTAATTTTCTTTTATTATTTTCTTTCTGGTTTCCCACATAAATAATTCTCAAGAGATTAAACGCTGCCTTCTGTGTACACAAAAGTAACAAAACGTGGTTTCCGCTAGTTTCATGGCGCTTTGCAACGAAATGTATTTACACCCATTCCTCGATTTAACTTGAAGATACGTTCCAAAATAAACACGGATAAAAAGAACATCTAGTTCATATGTAGTAATAGCATATAACAAAGTATATATAATCATAATAAGTTGAGATGAAAAATAATAATTTATTTATAACTTTTATATGACAATTATTAAAACAATGATTTTATTTATAATTTATTGTTTGGAACTATATGAAAACTATGACTAGTATTAAAAATAATATCAAATCAATTTAATCTTTTTTTAGTAGAGTAAGACCTCGTTTAACGCTGATTCCTGAAAAAGCTTTAAATTTACATATTTGCTATAAAACCATTTTAAATTTTTTAATTAAGCTTTAATTAAAAAAAATCGCATTTTTTTTTTCCATAAATTTTTAGTCGATTTTTCTATTATTATATTAATTTATTTCTTAGTGTATGTAAAATTTTAAAAGAACATTTTGTAGTTGACTTAAGGACTTTAATCCCTACATTTCTAAATACCAAATTAATAGTTATTGTATTGTTAATATAATGTATTTTCAAAGCAAATTATTTCTTTTTTGTAACTAATACAGCAATATCTTGTATAGTACGGTTTCGATTTTTAAATTTTAATTGAACAACATAACAATAAATTAGAAAAATATATTACAGATTATTATATTTTTATATTAATAGTCGTGTTTTTCTTCTTCTACATATTCCAGTTTCATTTTGTTGTGCAGTTTTAAAGTCCTCGATTAGTGCGGTTTTAAACTATGCTCTAGCATTGTTTCAAATAAGAAATATTTTGTACCCAATTTACATTATCTAACAAATCTTCTATTTTTAGCAACATTTTATGCATCTTTTTGTAAAATCTTTTTTATAAAAGTTCAAAGTGCAGTTATAATCTTTTTTTTATTACAAAATGCAAATTAAAATAAGTTACCATTAATAAAGTCTTTTAGTCATGAAAATATAAAAAGAAAAAAAATATTAATATGGAAATTCTACAGTTTAAATCATTGTGTTTTCTCGAAGCGGAGACATCCACGGAGGTCGCAAATAATTTGTAAACAAAACTTAACGGATAACTGCACATTGTACTGTTGCATTAAACAAAGTCCTTCTTTATATGGCGCATTCAAGGATCCGACCAACATCTGCACTAATTTATTTGATACCAATCGTCCTGAAAACATGACCATTCTTCACCATAAACGATTAATCGATCACTGCAAAACAAGCATCATCACCATTGTTATTCATTAAAATAAATTTGTTGCAACAAGCAATTAATTTGTAATTCTCATTTATTTGGAACCAGTCTATTATTATCCTGTATTTCGCGAAAAGTTTCAATCAGTTTAAACATGATTACGTTTAATTCGCTATAATCCAGCTACAATATCGTAATCCGTATATCGCATTAATCTATAATACTAAATCCTTGTTAATTGATATGATCCATTGTTTCTGATAGTATCGAAATTCAATTGAATCCATTCAAGTTTCTAGTAATTATTGCTAATAATAAATGCAATTTTTGTTACATAAAAAAAAAGATCGAAGTATCTATTATATGATTTTCTCTTTTGTGATTAACGTAATCTCTTTCTAGATTATGTTTATATTGATAGGAACTTTCTATATAAGACGAATGCATTTATTTAATCTACAGTATAAACATACTTAAAATGTCGATCAAATTTACTTTGATTTGTGCGGCTTTTATTGCCTTTCAAGTAAGTTAACTTACACTAATTTTGGAATATAAATTAAGTAAATCATTTGGATTAGGGTATCACAGCTTTTGCTGTGAAGGAAGATGTGGAAGGAATTGCTAAAGCAGCAAAAAGGGCTCTTGAAGACTACAAATCTATTACCGCAGCATATATTGATTATGCAACAGAAAAACTTGGAGCAACTCTTGCAGAAAATGAAGAAGCTGCTACCGCCGTCGAAGAAGCTGGATCTGTAATAATCAAAAACAATGTTGATGCATCTACCAAGGAATTGGAAAAGCTGGAACAACTCGCTCAAGATTGGAACGTTGATATCTACGATTGCGCTGCGGATGCTCGTGAAAACTTGAAGAGTTTGATTGGAACTGTTAATGGTGATTTGAAGAACTGCAATTCGAACATCATCAATCAATCCACTCTTATTATGGATGATGCTATTGAGGGGTTCAAAGATATGGCTTCTGAGGGAACCGAACGGTATACTGAATCCGTTGATGGTTGCATTTCCGCCGATCCGAAAGATCAATACAAATGCTTCAATGGAGTTTTGAACGCTATACAGAATAGTATTCATACCTATCCTAATTACGTAATCGCAAATGTTAAGCAGGTGCAACAACAGTTGAAGGTGGTCGGAAAGGGTCTGGAGCTTTGCGAGATTCGGGCCGGTACACAATCCGCGCAATTGTCCGCAAAGATCATCGGAGTTGTGACCAGATGTCTCAGCAATAAATTACCAGAACCTCAAATGTAATTTAATATAAAAATACCAATAAATAATATGCAAATTATGTTTCATTATTAATGTGCGTAAAACATTAGTTTTTCTTGTTTCAATTTTCATATATAATGACTGAAATTTCATAGTTACATCCAATATTTTTTTGAAAATTATGAAACTAGTAAATTTTTCATTTGAAATATAAATACAAGTTTTAGTTTATTAAAAACATTTCAATTATAAGCCTTTTTGATTTTTCGAATGAGCTTTCTTCTCGAACAGGATCAACCTTCTCTCATCCAAGAATATTGAACCAAATGATGATCACATCGATGAATGAACAAAATTTCTAATTGCTTTGATGTCCTCTTCCTTCAATACAACTTCTACTGTCAGTCTTGAAGTTTTGAATCCTGATATAACCGTCTTCGGATGTTTTCGCAAAAATCCAAAATGCCTATGCTCAGCTGCGCCTTTTGGTAAATCTCCCTGTAAATGGGTTAAATCTATTTTATATTATTTGTTTTAATTTACAATTTTCAAATTTTTTCATATGTAATGAACCATAAATTCCAATAATTTTGGAAAAATTATATTTCTAGACAGTTAACTTTAGAATTATAATCATGTAGGAAAAACCGTAATAGAGATATTACGGTTTTTGATGTCTTTAGTTTTTATTGAATTCCTCCATAACTGCACGAGCTAATTAGAACAATGAATACACAAATTAAAGCAGAAAGTCCGAGCCTTCTGACAGTTTCGTGCACGTGTCATTGCTGAAAAAGGCAATCTCAAATTATGCTGAATTGCCTAATTCAAAAATAATCGTAAATTGGAGACCATCAATCTCTGAAAAGATTATAGCTTTGTTATTTCGATATGGAAAGCTCCTAAAAACTACCGACATTTTTCATGAATTTCACGTATTTTTTAAGAAATTTTGATGAAATCGAGAACAATTTTCCTTAATAACACAAATATGATATTCTTAAATTAGATAAGAGAGATAAGAGTTGTATAACTCCCTATACATGTAACATTATAATTTTTCTTGTTTATTCTTATTAAAGCAGAAGTTATATAACTTCTTTTATTGTTTCGTAGGAAGGGCATCAGCGGTACGCAATATATTATGTAACAAAACTTACATAATGGTCATTGCTTAATCAAAAATAATGATGTTTCTTAAATTGCTCGACAACTTGAGGAGCTAATAGAATCATCGGAAACTAAAATTAAAGCTGTATATCTACGTTCATTAGCTACAATCTGTCAAAGTTTTTGATGCTGAAACGGACTATCTTCATTTTTATTTTCAATATAACCACCCAAGATAATTACATAATTTAGTAGTAATAGTAAACAGGAGACCGTTGCCTGTCGAAATTGTGCCATAAGTTGAAAAACACTGGTTAAAGGGTACACGCAATGTAACACCTTTTGAACATGCTTAATGGAGCATTATTATAATTTTCTAGAAAAGGTACAGGAAAGAGGAATCACCATTTAATTTAGTTGTTATGTCAATGGATCAATTTTGATAGTCCATACCATCCGATGTAGATTCAGTTAAAGAAGTTGGATAGAAATTTCGCATTTTCTGGCCGCTCAGAGAATTGCAATAAACTGGGTCAATATCGATTTTTTTGTACATATCCCAATGCGAAATCAATATATTGCAATATAACATCTTTCCGCTTGATATATTATATAAATTATATATATATATACATTTATATAAATAAATAAAATAGGGGTAGTGTATATAGTAAAGGTGGATTGTAAATGAATCAATTCTAGTCCAGTTGGTCGGAAAATGGATTTTCCAATTAAAAGAAGCGATGCGTCCGAGTGATGGACAAGTTACGTGCTATCGGCTTAACTGTAAATCACACGGTTTGATGCCAGAGGGATGTGTGTAATAGTTATGGCATGTTGCGCGAGGAGTCGGAACGCAGGAGAAGACAACGAAAACGACGAACGTCTGACCCCGACGTCAAGATGAGCCAAGAGGAGATGAGATGATGATGATGAAGAAGAGGAAGGTTAAACGAGGTCGAGCCCAAACACCACCACCACAACAACAACAACTCTTCCACCTCTTCACCTCCCCCAATCGAAGTGCTTTCTTTATTTTATTAAGAAACACATCTGGCCTTAACGGACACACAGATATAATGCGGACAGACGAAGCGTGCAATTCCAGTTGGGAAAATGATTGCGTGCTCCCGGGAATATCCGAAACAATGACCCAATATCGAGGGGGGCCGTTTGTTACACAATTCTCTTTCCCTCACACTCCCCACCACCACAAAACAACAAGAACGACCGCAGCTGAGCTCGTTTTCGGTTCTGCGCTTTCTGTATTTATAGTGATTATTATTTTCCTCTTAACTTATTGACAGTGCAAATGAATGATCGCATGCAGATGAATGTATGTAAGGATCGATAGGTGCAATTATTTTCTCATAAAAATCCATGCAACAGCCGTACAATTATAATTTATTCTTACATCTCCGCACAAATACACACACATACTCACACACTCACTCACAAACTAGTATACATTTGTATACATATGCATACAACGAACGCACAACTCACCGTGCATTTAATGTTTACCTGAAGAAGCCGTACATAATTTCCTTTCAAACTAATTTTAGGCTTTTTGCAAGACCAACAACAGCATTACCTGTGCGTACCTTCCAGAGGCATACTTAATTTTAATTTGCTTCCCGACAACATTTACTCTTCGATAAATAGAACTTGACTCGAGTTATAAATTGTTGTACCATCATGCTTTTTCTTCTTAGACTACTTTTTATTCCTACACATTTTTTTTGTAACATACATAACTGTAACAAAATAATATATAATTACTTATTTATGAACAGAAACTTAGTATCATAACAAAAAATTACCTATATTCTGCAAATTATTGAGGTTATCGTATTCTAAACGTATACAAAGGAAGAACTGAAATAAAAGATAGAAATATTTCTTTATTTCCACATTTTTATTGGACTATCCATAATATTTTTTGTTTTCATTGTGAATTGATTTATTTTTTTCAAAACATTGGCATTATTATGAAAAATGTTTTAAATATTCATTAAAAAATATGTACATTATTACTAAAAAATAAGTTTTTTTTTTCCTGTATAATAACCTGATAAATCTAGTTAGTAGGTTGTATTATTCCTCAAAAAAAAATTTCTGACTCATATACTTTGAAAAGTAGATAATATAATAAATGTGAATATTAAACCAAAAGTTTGTTTCTGAAGTACAATAATGTTTGTCAATTTTATTCTAATCATTAACAACACTCTTGAATAGATTCAAATTTGGTGTCAAACAAATTACAAATTCTGACAAAATAATTTCATTTCAAACAAACTACTAAATTTGTCAAAACTTATTTTTTTGTAAATTAAGAAGAATTTAATACCTAAAATTTGGACAAGAAATTATAAGTATAAAGATAAAAAAAATTATAAAAATTTCTATAACGAATATACGAATTTTTTTCAACAAACGCTCATCCTGTTTGTCCTTAATACGATTGTATTAAAAATAAGAAATTTTAAGAATTTTGTGTATCTTTGATGACGAGATTAAGGTAGTTCTAGGAAGGATTTCAAAAAACAGCACAATTAAATATCAATTTTATTATAGCAATAAAATAAAAGCTTAATCGCTTCGATCGACAATAATACACGTGATTATGTAAAATTAACCTGTCATTAGAGATACTCAAGAGCTGATGAAGGTGTAATCTTTGGAGAGCATTGAGTTTAATAAATAATAGGTGTTGAAGTATAATTTGTTAATGCTGGATCATTGTGAAAATCATTCTGTTCGTGAATTGTAAAAAAAAAATTTAATATATTTTATTCGAAAAAGTTTTTATGGAAAAAGTTTTTTTTTTGTTGAAATAAACATTATTATTATACCTAATAACACAAATGTAATAGTATAAGATATTACGTATAGTATAAAAAATTATATAATTAGATTACAGTTTTAAAAGAAATTTATAAAATTATCAAAAGTTAAGCAATCGCTGATGGTAATCGTAATAATACTTTAGTAATAAACATAGACATCAATGACGACTTCTAAAAATTTGTATCTGAATTGTAAATATATTTCTACAATGATATAAACTAAATGTAGTATAATGGAGGGGCTACAACACTGCAGTTATTATAGACAAGCAGTCACTGTTATTGACAAAAAAAACAAACGGTTTTTACAACTGTCACATTTGACATATGTCAAATAATACTTTTAAATTGATCCAAGGTCACCAAGTTAATTATACTCTTGAATGAAACATAACTACAAGTGACAACTTTAAGAGAATTCTTCTTTTCCTACATTTCTACAATTATATAAGTTAAATACATCAAATTATAAGCTATAAAAAAACTGTCTTTTTTGGTATATATCAAATAATACTTTTTAAATTGATTAAATGTCACCGAAGTAATAATACTCTTGACAGAAACATAACTACAGTTGACAACTTTAAGAGAATTCTTCTTTTCCTACATTTCTACAATGATTACATCAAATACTTTTTAAATTGATCCAAGGTCACCGAAGTAATGATATTCTTTACAGAAACATAACTACAGGTGACAACTTTTAGAGAATTTTTCTTTTCATAAATTTCTACAAAGATATAAGTTAAATATATCAAATTATAAGCGATAATAAAACAGGAACTTGCGTTGTATTATGGACTAGCCTACATTGCTTAAGGAAAATACAAGTTACAAATTCAAAGTAAAACTGTTATTTTTCACATATGTACTTTTAAATTGGTCCAAATCCAGCAAATTAATTATACATAACTGCACATATGTACATTTCTACAAAGATATAAGTTAAATGCATCAAATTATGAGCGATGAGAAAATTTTAACTGAGCTGCAATTATCATTCCTTTGGATGATCGTCTGACAAATGAAAGTTACAAATGGTTTTTAAATGTAAAACTGTCACTTTTGACAATAGTTACATTGACAATTACCACATTATTGACAGTGGTGACTCATC